AGTTCATGACCACGTGCACGGAGTGCTGTCTTTCCTTTGACAGTTCCAGCTGCTGCATTAACTCTTCTCTGACCGGTCCTTGAAGAAAATCTTGCCCATCCATGTTGAAGACTTTCACCTTTTGGTCCACTTTATTTAATTTGCAATTGTGCAACAGCCATTTGTGGGATTCAGGATTGAGATCATTGGCAAAAACAGTGCAATTTTTCTTCGCTGCTGGAATGGCAAAGGGCCCGACACCAGCAAAAACATCAAACAGGATATCCCCTGGTTTGAGAAGGTGTGCGATACGGCTGTGTTCTGTAGAGAGCCGAGGATTCCAGTAGACTTTTGAAAAATCAAATTCATAAGTGTAGTTGTTTTCTCGAACCTGGAAATGTATAAGGTTTTGGTTATCCTTGGCCCTAAATTTCAGCCATTGCTGCTGAGTAGGTTTACACACGCACAAGAGCTTGCTCACACACAGCCACTGTCAAAGCGAAACATCGGACAATCAAAAGCACTTCAATTGAATTCTGGTGTTCTTGCTGTTCTTCGGCTGAATTAATACATTGCATTAATTTTTGGTAGGAGGAGATGATTCTTCAAAGCCAAGCGACCCTTCATCTCAGCCTCGGTGCTTCCTGAATCACATGTGGAATTTTTCAGAAGGGCCGACTGGCTGCCTAATTATACTTCCTTATGTCACCAGTTGGAGAGGAACAAACCTGTCATTTGAGACCCAGCGCACAGAATCTTCACGGTGTGCAGCTAAGTGGCAGACAGACTTGCACTAATAAACAAGCTTCCCTCGTTCAGTGTGTGGTTAGCAAAAGGGAAGCAAAAGAGACGTGTTGCTCAATTTCGAGTTTTTACTATGTTTTTAGACAATTACTTGGGCCTTTTGCAAATATCATGTCTATAAATTAAAGCTGCTGTTTAGAACAAATCAGTTCTGTGTTTGCTTACCAAACACCAAGTTTGCATGGGCAAGTGAAAAATACACAGAGAAGCTAAATACTGAGCCAAACTAAGCCTTTATCTGTCATTTTTTTTGGGTCTATCATCAAGGACATGTTAGAATACAGAAAACAAAATTTAAATTATAGCCATGGGATATGCTATAACCCATCATCTGAAGCTCCATGTTTTATAAACAAAGAGTTAAAGAGCAGAAATTTCCCAAATTGTACAAACCACAAAGAAACGGATCTTCAAGCTTATTTACTCGACCTTGATGACCAAGTTAGAGACACAACCTCTGCCTCAGACACATCGGATGCTTCTGGGCATTACTAAGATTCCGGAACTGGAGCTGTTCCTGTCAACTCAGTCTTTCCAGGTCTGACTGTGTGACGATACTGTTTTATAACTCGCTTTTCTGTAACCTAACCTGTCAGTGCGCAATTTATCTTAATAAAGATGGAGCTAAGAGATGCTGAATGACGTCACATCCTGCTGTATCACTATGGGAGAATTTAAAGTGCACCATCCCATCATCAGTATTGACAGATGCTCGCGTCCGCATCCATCTCGAGCACTGGACCAGTATTTTTCATCTGCACCCTCTCTTCCTTTCCTGGGCATTCACCCCGACACCCGCACTAAGAGATGCTAAAACACTCTATACCTTGCTTATCATGTTCTCCTCTCCCGACAGCACTTCCATTTGGAAATTTCTGTATGTATTGTCAATATTATTGATTTTATTCACTGCTGAGGTGATTCCTGGATTTTTGTCGATCATAACTTCACCTAAAAGACAATTATACAATAAATACTTCCACTTTGGTTACATAGTAAAAGCTAAAACTGCGAACATGAAACCACTGAATTGTGCTTCCTTCGGGATTAAGAGAAAAACTTCATCCACTGTAATACAGCATCCAGTTTCTAAAATTCAACACACTGCTAGAGTTGATGCCTGGTAATCGCTGATATACAAACAAAAATGTGTGGGTACGGTTTTTTAAATCTTTTCATTTATTTCATTTTTTCCCCCCATTCCAAATAAATGGCAGAAGGAGGAAACCAGATGGAGAGAAAAGTCCCATCTTCTGGTTCGTTTCCCAAATGCCTACAGTGACGAGGACGGGGTCAGCTGAAGGCAGGAGCACAGAGCTCCAGGAGAAGCGGATGGAGCCGAGCTCTGCTGCCTCCCAAGCTGTGCCAAGCTGCGGTCTAGAACCAGGGCTGCCGGGGGGCCGGGGCATCTCAAGCAGGGCTTTTTAAACTGCTGTGCCACGATATTCAACACTAAGGAAGACATGTTGAATTGAGTGTACTAAACAGTCCTCCTTATTTTTGCTGAATCTTTTCAAATGTGTTCCAAGTAAATCAATTTGCAAAACACCAAGAATTCATGAAAACTGTTAGTAAACATAATCTTGAAGACCTATTAAAGTTCTGAGTACGGAACACTGTTCTTTAAAGCTGCCAATGCTGAGAAGTCCAGTTTAACCTACGCTGCATCTGGAGTGGTCCTCCCAGGGGCTCCTCCGAAGAGCGCTGCACTGACAGACTCGGGCAGCTCACGGACCTTACAGAGATTTTCTGAATCCTGGCACAAGAGCTAACGATGCCTCACTGCCATCAGGGCCACGTAAGCAGCACCTTCGGAGCAGTCTTCCCCACATCGGGGTCTCTAAGGTGACATCAAATGATCATCTCCCCTTGAAAGTAGATTGACAGCAAGGAGCGGGGTACCCCCACCCCCATGCCTCCTGCCCCCTCTGTGGACAGAGGAGGAAGAAAAAGAAAAAAAATTAACTGAAACATCTCACCCTCTTTCCTCCCTCTCCTCAGCACCCTCACCCGACTCAGAGGCCCGTATCCCTCCAACTGTGCCTATAACTCAATATTTACTTTTTTTCTCAAGATCCTCTTCTCAATTATGATGAAACATATTACTTCTGCAATGTAGCACCTCCAACATAATTCTAAAAACTAAAATCAGAACTTGCTGATTGCATTCTAACACCTGACCATCACCTAGGCACACACCTACCAATTAAATGCTTGAATGGCAGCTGATGATCACGCAGGTTCAAGTGGGCGATATGTCCAACTCTGCTAAACCCAGAAGTCACGTCCTGACCTTCAGGGAGCACAGCTCTCAAAACTTCTTCCGCCTTGAAGTTCTCATAAGTCAGTTCCAGAGTGTATTCAGATATCTGAGGATCGACGTGCAGCTGCTGCAAAGCCCTGAGCTCTGCCTCCTCAAAGGGGTCCCTGCCAAGCACCTTGCGGGGGTCCAGCAGGAGGAGTCTGCTCTCTTGGTCCTGGGGGTCTTCGACCACACGTTTTATCCCCGGGCGCTGCAGTGCCGTCCTTTTAAGCGACCGCATGGCCCTACTGACTACTTCCTTCTTCACCTTAAGCACCGGGATGGTGACCGTCTTTTTAAAGGCTGTTCTGTCAAGTTTGGTCATTCCGCGAACCTCAGCGGGTGGAGAAAACAACACACAGTCGCTCTCCTTTGGTTCCATTTCAGGCGTGTTGGGGAGTCCTTCTCTTGGATCCAAAACCATGCCAGGGACTTTGCTCAGCAGCGGAGCGGTCTGCGATGGCCAGGCTAGCAAAGCCAGTGCCTCGGATCCTGAACAAGGAGAGCCGTGCCTTCTCCAAAGACTTCCTAAGACTCCAAACAGCCTCGAGAGGACCCTTTAAAAAAGTTACTGTTTTTAAAAAACACCATAAAGCTACAAGCACACACACACACACTCGCATTCTGCTATTGAAAACCTTCTGCTAAATGCTGGTGAGTAAAGCAGTGCTACGGGGCAGTGTCCTCTCTTTACAGCAAAGGATGACTTTTTTTTTTTTTTAAATAAAATGAAAGCTTAAGTTTATTTTGCCACAAAAATGTTTGCCATCTATGCCTAGTCTGCATTTTCATCTTTTGGAAGGCCTCCTCCGTTAACTGTTCAGCAGCCATGGACTTGGTGCATGGAGCCAATAACCACACGGATGGACTACTGACTGACGGCCAAGAACCCAAGGAGAACTTTCTTTAGTGGCAGACAATAAATCTGCATCTTCAACCCATCTTCCGCCAGGCCAGGCTATCCTCGGTGAACTTCAACACTCAATTATCTGCCAAATACATCTGGAATCAAAAGGCTGTGACTGGAATTAACGGACTTAATGACGAGGCCATTACATACACAAGATGTCAATACTTTCTAGACTGTTACAGGCGCTTACTGCGCCAAGTGTTGTGAAACACGCCGTACACACAGGACCATCTTTGGGAGGTAAGTATCATTTGGGGGCTCCCTAGTGATGCAGGGGTCGGCTGGCATCTCAAGGAGCTCCTTGCCAAAGCGCCAGGGATGGCAACACATGGTAACCCAAGTACTTGGGCTACTGTCACCCACGTGGGACGCGAGGACGGAGTTGCAGGCTGCTGGCTTTGGGATGGCAAATGCTTTCATTTGGGGGAGTGAATAATCCATGATTATATATATATATATATTTTTTTAGTGAACTACTTCAAAGTGTCGTTGCTAATAAACAGCAGGTTAAAAACTCTCGTCTGACTGACGGGTGCTTGTGTCCTGCGCATTTTTGCCCGTTTGTCAGTGCTGCTTCACCTGGCCACGTGTCCCGCCTGCAGCTAAGGACGCATGGACTTTGCCGAGCGTTAAAAGGCCCTGTCCCCGGAATCCTGCCAGGAAACACACACCTCAAGAGCTCAAGCCGGGCGGCCCTGGGTCAGTTCACCAGAATCGCGGGTTCCCAGCGTGAAACGCGGCGTCCTCACCACCCTCTGCTCCCCGCGACGTCTCCGAGCGGCCGCCCCCGGAGCGCCTGCACCCTCGAGCCCCCGACGGCGACACAGCAGCCGTGGGCGTCGCTCTGCAGCTGGCTCGGTGGCCGGACCCTCACCTCATGCTCCAGAGCCGCTCAGCGATGGGTCCTCGGCGAGTGCACCGGGTCGGGTGGACCCCGCGGCCGGGGCAGACGTCATCAGGCCGCGTCGACTCCCTCCGGCCTTCCCTGGCGGGGCTGAAGTACGGAAACCCGGAAGGGCCGGGCGCGGAGCTCCGCCTCTGACTGACAGGCGACGCGGACGCGGGGCCCGGGAGCCGGTCGCCGATGGAGTTGGGAGTCAGCGGCGGAACGGCATGGAGACGACCTGGGGGAGCGTCAACGCTGAGCCGGGCTGGTCCGTCTCGGCCCGGCAGCCTGAAGAGGCGGCGGAGGCAGATGAGGCGAGTCCGTTGCTAAGCAACGTAAGTGCGCTGGCCGACGCCGAGATGCTGTGGGTCGGCAGCTGGCTAGGGACGGGGTGCTGTGCTGGGAGAGGGGTGGCCCCCGGCCCCTGAGGCCCCTGAGACGGCAGCCGAGGTCCCTAGGCCGTCTGCGGAGCTGGGCGGGCTGCTGGCTGAGGACAGAAACATGCCAGCTGAGGTGCAAGCGAGGCAGCAGAGTGGACGCGGGGGTCTCGACGACCGCAGCTGGCCCGGGACTGCGTGACTCACTGCTCTCCATTAGAGCCTTGGTCGCCTTGTTACTTCCTCCGCCTGCCTTGTGAGGTCTTGCAAGAGTCACGAGGGTTTTTTTTTTTTTTTCCTTGTCGCGACTTAGTCATGGGAGGTCTGTCATGGTAATGTGGGGACCCTTGACCTGCTGGTAAGCGTAGACAGGCTGAGCCATGCGCACCCCGCTTTTGAACTCGAATTCTTGGGTCTTAACAACTGCAGGACTTTGTACCCACCTGCTCTTGGAAGAGAGGGGGTTTTCAAGAATACCCACGCCAGAGCTACGTGAATTTCCACTGATTCTCCTTGTAAGGGCTTCCTAACCATCTTTCCGGATTGTTCCAGGCCAGTGGTCTTCATGCATTAAGCTTATACCTAGAGTACAGTTTTGCAGTCCTGGAAACTGAAGCTCAGCAGCTTCAGGCAGCCATCCAAGCTGACTCAGGGACTCTTGGAGGAATCATGTGAGCCGGGGCCAGGTCACTTCCCTCCTGCACCCTGCACCCAGCACTCCCGAGCCCTCTGTCTTCCCTGGCTTCCACACAGTGGTAGCTGTAAATATTCCTAAAGCCTGCCTGGCCTCTGTCCTCCAGGATCTGTGTTCTTGCAGGGATGGGGGAGAGGCGGGGGGCTTAAGCACCTGCTGTAAGTCAGGGAGCTTGCGGGAGATTTGTGGCTGAGACCTGAACCTGACCAACCCGGCTTGCCGGAACTTGTGTCTTGCAGGAACTTCATCGGCCAGAAGCCCCCGGTGTTTCATTTGGCTTCTCGGTGTTTAACTTGATGAATGCCATCATGGGAAGTGGCATACTTGGCTTAGCTTACGTCATGGCAAATACTGGTATTCTTGGATTTAGGTGAGTTTTCCCATCACCTTTTTGATACCCTTTTTATAATACACTATGAAGCAAAGAGGTGGCTTCTGGAAGCCTGCTGTTGTCCTAACTCTAGTTATTTGTAGAATTTTCGTATTTTTCTTGAGACTTCTATCTTGTTGCTAAGCTGTAGCTTCTATAGATAGATGCTAATTTGTGTTTCTTAAAACAAGGAAGTGTGGCTAGTTTTTAAAAGTATGAATATGATCCATATTCATTTATAACCTAACAGTTTGAGCCTCTGCCTGGAGCATTCACAACACGAGTTTAAAGTGCTTGGTTTGAGTCCTCAGCTGTATCTCTGCTTCAGATCCAGCTGTCTGCTGACATGCCTGGGAAGCAGGCAACAGGTAGAGAGGCCTGGGCGGAATTCCTGGCTCCTGGCTTGGGCCTTGTGCAGCCTCACTGCTACAGGCATCTGGGGAGCGAGCACGCATCACTGCTTCACAGCATTTTAAGGAAATACAGCAAAAAGAAATTTATACTAGCCACATCAGGTTTTCCAAAAGTGAATGCCATTTTTCAGTAGTACAGATTACTTCTAAACAGCGTTTTGGGGAATGCAAATAAAGCCCAGGAGCTTTTCGTTCCTGGCCGTCTCCTCCTGTTCCTGTTGCGAAGGAGTTTGTTGCACTTTATTTGAAAGGCACAATTACAGAGAAAAAGAGAGAGAGAGAGAAATCTTCCATCCTTGGGTTCACTCCGCAAAGAGTCACAATGGCCAGTTCTGAAACTAATGACATGGTGTGACCATGGAAACCAGGAGCCGGGAGCTTCCTCTGGGTCTCCCACGGGGGTGTAGGGGCACGAGGACTCAGGCCATTCTCTGCTGGTTTTCCAGCCAACAACGGGGAGCTGGGCCCAAAGTGAAGCAGCTAGGGGGCCCTCAACTGGCACCCACAAGGGATGCTGCTAAGGCGGCAGGCTGAGGCTTACGTTCTACCCCATGGCGGCAGCCACCAGGCTTATGTTCTAAAGCAGGGAACTAGACCAGCGTGCCCCAAACAGAAAACATCCCTTGTGTTTCTGGATTCTCAACACCTTGTGTGTGTGGCTTGTTATTATAATGTGTCATGATGATTCGCTTTCAGGTTAATCTCCCCGCCAAACTCTAGAATCCTTTAGAACTCAGCTTATCACCTGGAGCCAGGGCTAATGGAATGAATGTACAAGTTTGTTTTGTCTGTCAGTTTGCAGCAGATCTGTCTTACTAGGAAATTTAAAAATGCATAGGTTCTCTTTTAGGTTTGTTTTCTGTCTTTATCCCGGATTTTTTTTGAAATAAGCAAATTATTATGGGATGTACTGACAGACTATCATAATTTTTAAAAAGTCACAAGACATAATTGGAGGGTTGTTGTTTTCCTTTGAAGAATTGTGATTTATATATGAAAGTTTACAAAAATGCAAGATGCATAGGACTAAAGGATATTGGGTGTTCCTTTTGTGACTCATGCCAACCCATTGCTTTGTGAGGTCTCTGAGCTGGATCCACTGGCGCGCGTACTTTCATCTCTCCGTTTTGCTACTTATGAATGAATGTTAACTGAACCACACACAAGTTCTTTGATGCACCAGGGACAGCTCTAGAGCCGGAAGCTTGTCCCTGGGTAGTCTACCTGAGAATGAGTAGGAAGCATGTTTCCTTTTTGGTTCACACTGTTGGTCAGAGGACTTCAGTCATTAACATCCCTGGTGCATTTTTCAAGTTATGTCGTTAAGAGTGTGTTAATTGTATTTGTGTGTGTGTGTGTTTGTGTATAGATGCTAGACAGTACAACCTTAATGCTTTAGGTGAAGGTGTTGTGGGGATGTCCACCTCCCTGGAATGGCAGGGCGAGAAGGGGAAAAGGAAGATACTGGGATTTCATAACCAAAATAGGAATAGGAAAATGTGTAAGGATTATTGGATGTTAAAAAAAGATTGTTGGGTGGCTAAAATGGGAGATACCACAATTGTTGCATGGCTGGAACAGCAGTCAGCAGACAGTGGGAAAGGAACACATTTATATTTTAAATAGCTTTTTCTCTTTTTTTTTTTTTTGATGTTGGAAACACAAAGCAGTCATTTTTCACATACATTTGGTAAATACAGAAAAGTAGAAATGTATATTCTTCCTGTCTTCAGTGGCTGGAATGTAACATTCCTTATGAATACTTGAGTGTGAAGTAATTTGTTTTTATGATGAGATATCATAGAGAAGAAGAACTTTCCGGGAGAGGCTGATCTTCTGTTCTCTTGTGCTTTAGTTTCTTGTTGCTGGCGGTTGCCGTCGTGGCTTCGTACTCGGTCCATCTCCTGCTCAGCATGTGTGTTCATTCAGGTGAGTGAAGGTGTCGCACGCACCGTGTCATTCGACAGGACATCCCTTGAGTTTGTGGGATGTTTCAGCTTTCACTCCCAGGAGGCATTCGTTCTCTTTGGGTAGCAGGTTGGAGTGGAGACCTTCCCTGGGGGCGTGTCCAAGGACCGGACGCCTCCCTCCACATCACAGGGCCAGCTTTGTTCCTGCCTTAGCGCAGATCCGGGGAGGCTCCCAGAAGGCGTGAAAGGATCCAGACTTTATGCTCGCGGTGAGGCAGCCCAGTCATGCTTCTCCTGGGGTGATCATTCCCTCAAGGAAAACATCTTCCCAGACCCACCGCTGCCTTTCCTGTACCCTCTTCCTGGCGGCTACACACAGGTAGGGACAGCAGAACACCGAGGGCAGGAGCAGGGTCCTGAGCTTTGGAATCTGTTTAAAAATGCCCCGTATCTTTTATTTCAAGCCGAAAGCAAGAGTTTTTCCTTAGTGACAAAAGTATGTACATTTAACATTTTATATAATATATTTATAATATTTATATAACATACTTATATATTATATAAATATGTTATTATGTATAAATATATATATATATATGCACTTACCAAATGTCCATGCAGCAGGTTGGGTCAGCCCTAAGCACAAAGTGGAGCTGGGAATGCAGCCCACTTAGCAGTGCTGGCTGCACCCCAAGTTCTTGAGTCCCTGCATCAGTGTGAGAACCCTAGAAAAAGCTTGTGGCTTCAGCCTGGCTGTTGAGGCCGTTTGAGGAGTGAGCTGGTGAATGGAAGATCTCCATCTTTGCCTTTCCTTCTAACTCTGCCTTTCAAATAAAAATTTGTTTCTAAAAAAGAATTTTTGAAATGATTCCTCCAAATATTCTGTGCAGGACTGGATCCAGGCCACAGTCAGAGGACAGGAATTCAGTCACTCCTGTGGGTGGCGGGAACTCAGCCGCTTGAGCCATCCATCACATGCGGGGGTCTGCCTTGGTGAGCAGCAGGAGTGAGGAATCAGACCCAGGGAGTGAATCTAGGTGTTCCGGCGTGGGAGGCAGACCTCCTCACCAGCACATAGCCACCAGGCTCAAGGCCAGAGCCCTGCAGCCATTCTCACACAAAACCCACTTGAAGACCTGTAGTTTGTAGCTGCACTTTGTACCACTGTGTGTGGCCATCCAGCCCACAAATGCACGCCTCTGCTCTAGGAGCTTGGGGCAATGTGCAGACAGAGAAAAGTGCTAGATGGTTGTACATCCTGATCTCAGAGTTCAGGGGTGATAGCCGTAGGTAAGTATCTGCACGCTGCTAAGTTTCCTTTGCAACTTGATCAGAATTTTAATTTTGCATCTTGAGGTTTTTCTGCTTTGTATGAAAAAAATCATTTTTATGGCATTATAATAATTCATCTAACCTCTTAATTGATTCTTTGCATGAATTATCTTTAAAAGATTAACACTTTCATCAACTGTGTGCCAATTATGTTGTCACTAAGTAAAATGATCCATTAATTTCAATCAGTTCAGAGTAATGGTTCATTTATGTTCCTAAGTAATGGTTTTCTCTCCCTCAGTTTCTGTATGTTTAACTAATTTCTAAGATCGTTATTCTGTTCTTATAACTATGAGATGCACGAAGTGAACATTTCTGTTTCTCTTTCTTTTTTCTTCTTCTTTGATTTTTGTAGCGTACTTGGGTCCAGGAACTAACTTCTTCGCTCGTTCTTCGTATATACTGCTGGGCCTGTCTCCCGTTGAGTTACTCCAGTCACTGTAAAACTCTCTGTAGAGGTAGGCTTTTCTTTAAAAAAAAAAAAAACTATATTTCATATATAATTTTATTATCATTTGAAATGCCTGGCTAAAAAAATATTCAAAATGATTACTAGAATTATCATTATCATCAGTCCTCTTTAGTAATAGTATTCCTAAGTGCATTTAACTGAATAATTGAAAATAGTCACTTCTCTAAAGAAGAAAAATTTTCCATCTCTTCTGGAAAAGATGCCTCACTGTGCAGAGTCATCAAGTACACAGGCATCCCCCTGTGTCCCACCATTCGGGAGGGTCTCGCTCCCCCTAGAAATCCAGGAGGGTTTCTGCAGTGTAGGCTTAGCATCCACGCTTTGGAATGGGACAAGAAAAGGGCATGTGTCCCAGCTGAATCTCAAACTGAAGATGCTTTCTAGCTTCTTATCTCAGTGGTTAGTCAACTTGCCATGCTAAACACAAAAGGGGCCCAGAAAATGTAGCTTGTATCAAAGATGGCAGTGAGCTAACAAAGTCAGAGGTTCTCATACTCAGCGAGAGGGAGAGAGACACCAGTTGCTTTGTTCATTCTTAAACCCTCTGTCCTTAAAAAAGAAAAAAAAAAAAACACTAAACTCTTAACTGATGTCGTTTTAGAGTACAGGTTGATGATTCCAATCGAAGCTACACTTGCAGAGTTGAGCTGTTTTTGGACTTCTCCACGTAGATGTTTTACAGGCCCTTAAGCACAGAATGTTCAAAATTAAGCATATCTGTCTCCGGTGCCTCAAATATGTTTTTCTTCCCATATTCCTGCAAATACCAGTTTATAGCTCTTTCAGTTGATGCAGTCACTCATTAATTAGTTTTGTAAAAATTTCTGAGATGTCTAATTCACGTTCCATTGCTACTTTATAGAGGAAGCCATAACTCCTCACTTTGGTAATAATAGACCTAAATAATGACATCCTTTAAATTTTTCAAAGGGTTTATTTGTTTTTATTTGAAACGCAGACTTTATACAGAGAGGAGGAGAGACAGAGAGAAAGATCTTCCATCTGCTGCTCCACTCCCCATGTGGCCCCAATGACCAGAGCTGAGCTGATCTGAAGCCAGGAGACCTGCCGTTCAAATACATAATTAAACGAATCTTTAAAGAAGCAGAAGCGGGCCCAGCGCGATGGCACAGTGGTTAAGGTCCTCGCCTTGCACGCTCGGGATCCCATATGGGCGCTGGTTCTAATCCCAGCAGCCCCGCTTCCCTTCCAGCTCCCTGCCTGTGGCCCGGGAAAGCAGTCAAGGACGGCCTAAGGCTTTGGGACCCTGCACCCGCGTGGGAGACCCAGAAGAGGCTCCTGGCTTCGGATCGGCATAGCATTGGCCGTTGCGCTCACTTGGGGAGTGAATCATGGGACAGAAGATCTTCCTGTCTGTCTCTCCTCTCTGTATATCCACCTTTCCAATAAAAATAAAATAAATCTTAAAAAAAAAAAAAAAAGAAGCAGAAGCTAGTTTGAAACTATCACATGTAACATGATTCTAACAGTATCATGATATTCCAGAAAAGGCAAAACTATGGAGATGGTAAAAAGTGCAGTAACTACCAGGAGCAGCTGGGATTCAAAATGGTGCCCATATGGAGGTGCCATGTACTCTGCTCCATCTCACTGGCTTATTCTTTATTTGTTTTTGTTTCTGTTTTTACAAAACTAAAGACAGTCCCATAGTATGAGTGGGGAATAGAACACAGAGTTTATAGTTCAATAAAATGACTCCATATGGTGCTATAGTGGTAGATATACGTCATTAATTGTGAAAACTTGGAATGTGCAACACTAAGAGTAACCCTGCTATAGCTTGTGTGGGAGGTGTGTGGTAATGACATGTCCATATGGGTTCACCGTCCTGGATACATTGTACTCTTCATCCCATAGAGCTGCGGCTTTGTACTGTTTGACCAGGGGTCTTCATCCCTTCCTTCCCTCGCTACCACTATTAACCACAGTGTGGAAACTTGATACCCGAGGGAACTGTGCATACGTAGATGTTGCAGGTACACCACAGCTCCCAATTTTCAGTGAAGTTTTGCTGCGACCTTAAAACTGCTCAAGTAATAAAGAAAAATCAATTAAACACCAAGAGAAGCAAAAACTCAGAGAAAAGAAGAAACAGTTGATACAAGGTCTAGACGAAAACTTTTTCTTAAGATTTATTTATTTATTTGTTTATTGCAAAGGTAGATTTACAAAGAGGAGAATCCCCAAGACAGAAAGATCTTCCATCTGCTTCCTCACTCCACAAGTGGCCACGATCGCCGGAGCTGAGCCGATCTGAAGCCAGGAGCCAAGAGCTTCTTCTGCGTCTCCCACACGGGAGCAGGATCCCAAGGCTTTAGGCTATCTTTTACTGCTTTCCCAGACCACAAGCAGGGAGCTGGAAGGGAAGCAGAGCAGCTGGGCTGCAAATTGGCACTTATGAGGGATCCCCAGGCATGCAAGGCGAGGATTTTAGCCATTAGGTTACTATGTTGGGCCGAGATGAAAATGTTTTAAAAAATAACTTCTTTTAATGGCTTCAGAAAACAAAAAGAAGATAATGCATGGGGCCAGTGCAATGGTTTAACTAGCTAATCCCCCTCCTCCAAGCACCAGCATCCATATGGGCGCTGGTTTGCATTCTGGCTGTTCCACTTCCCATCTAGCTCCCTGCTCACGGCCTGGGAAGGGAGTGCAGAACGGCCCAAGTCCTTGGGACCCTGTGGAAACCCAGAATAAGCTCCTGGCTCCTGGTGTTGGATTGGCTCAGCTCTGGCCTTTGTGGCCATTTTGGAAGTGAACCAGGCTCTGTCTCTCCTTCTCTGTAAATCTGCCTCTCCAATGAAAACAAATCTTTAAAAAATTATAAAGAGAATATATTCGGAAGAAAAGAGCCCTAGGAGTTAAAAATAAAATCAGTTTACTAGCTGGGTTGGAAAGTTAATGTAATTTGCTAGGAGCACAAGAGGAAAGTAAAGAACCTGAAAATGATAAAGAAAAGATTTTAAAAATTAGAAGCTCAGTCCAAGAAGTCCAGTATGCAAGTAAAGGAATTCCACAAATTTTTAATTCTGCTGGTTAAAAATCAGCAGGGTAGCCAACGCAGAGGCATGGCAGTCTGATTTTCCACTCTGCAGCGCTGGCGTCCCCGTAAGGGTGCCCGTTCACATCCTGGCTCCTCCACTTCCGATCCAGCTCTTTTCTTATGGCCTAGAAAAGCAGTGGAGAATGGCTCA